GAAAGAGGCGCGAAAAGTAGCGCGAGACGGGTCCAAGATTCAGATGATCGAGAAGGGAAAACAGGCGCACAAAAAGAAAGAGAGAGAGGGAAAAACAGTTGCGATAGGAGAAGAAGAGGAGGGAGAAGGGAGAGCCTGAGAGAGAAGAGAGCGCGGGGGAAGAATGACGTGGGAAATAAGGAGGAGGAAGCTCGCATGCGTGGTGTCGACAACAAGAGAAAAAGGCACCAAAACAGTTACAGCTTACCTATGCCTTAAACCAATTCAAAAATTGAAATCACCATATCCACGCGCGAAAGTCGACGCGGGAAAAGAAAGTCTTATGCCTATCCGTATTCTCTCGAAATTCCTAGAGTTTTCTTCGTCGTGACCGAGAACATTCATGCAAAGAAAAAGACACGTCGGGTTCCGCTTATTCCGGAATTCCTAACTGTCGCGCCCGATTCCCAGTGCGCTCGCTAAGGCGCGCGCAATTTCCCATGCATTTCCCGAATTACAAAAAGCAGAATTCCAAGAATCAATAGAACCTTCGAAAACTGGGGCCCTAAACAAGGCACCTGAAATCAAGAAAAGCGACGGGGGCTTTGTTGGGTCAGTATGATACAAAAAGGGGGAATTGAGTCAAGGGGTACGAAAGATAGCACGGGGTCGGGAAGTGGTTCATCACAAGATATGCAAGAGGGTAACTCTGAATCCCCTTTCCAAATGTACCTTGACAGCAGTTGGCGAATCAACTGCGCCGACGTGTTAGATAACTCTCTGAACGAGAGGATGTACCATATTGTCGAGAGGATACACACGTTAGCCACCATTGCTCGGCCAAAAAGGGATAAAGATTTCCTTTTTGACCATTTTGAACATGCGTTTCTGATGCGTTCGTCTATTATTGAGTCTTGGAGGCTACTGCAGTCAGAGAAGGATACCAGAATGCCTAGGTATCTTTCAGAGTCTGAGTTGGTTAAGGTCCTGATGCCAATGTCTAGAGTCAGGGGTTCTCCATTTAGAGTCATTGCAACCGATTTCTTCCATAAAAAGAACAAGGGAAAAAAGTCAACAGAAACAAAGAATAAAAAAAGAATCAAAAAAGAATAAAAAAAAGAACAAGGGAAAAAAGTCAACAGAAACAAAGAAAAAAGGGGAAAACACGGCGGCCAGGTCCCACTAGCAACGTTGAGCTACCTCAACGCCTGAATCTGGACGTGTTTGCACAGACGTGCAGTTCAGGAAACTCAACACCATTTCTGCACATCTCTTCAAAATCGTCCAGATTCAGGCGTTGAGGTAGCTCAACGCTGCTAGTCGGACTTGGCCCCGGGGGAGAAGAGTTGGAAAAAAAAAAAGAAGAAGAGGACCGGGGACAAGGTCCCACTAGCATGGGTAAAGAGATGTGGGGCCTCGCTGCACTACTCATGAGGTGCGCATCGCTGCACTTACTCGTGAATTGGGCCGTCGGAAAACGCATCAAGAGCTGTCAGACGTTACTCTTCCAAACGTCAAGAGTTGAGTAGTCGTCGCTGCACTACTCTTGCCTTGTCGCTCGTGAAATTACATTTCATGAGCTGTCAGGGCGCCGTCGGGCAAAGTCATCTAGAGCACTCTTGCTCACCTGCCTGCAACCTTGGTTTTTGCAAGGGTGGTCGGACGGTTTCTTGAAAGGGCACGGGATTTCTAGAGCAAGCCTGGGTCTGGGCGGACAAACCACGCTGCACTGCACTCTACGACAACTGCCAGTGTCTCAAGAGTGCTTCATGAGCAGGACTATCTGGAGTAAGGGTCTCGTTCCACTACTCTCGCTCTCGAAATTTCGAGAGTATAGAGTAGTGGAGCGAGACCCTAAGTGCAGCCACGGCCGAACTGCAGGCCATTTCGGGACTCTGACAACTCATGCCACTCTCTTGATTTTTTTCACGAGTCATGAGTAGTGCAGCGAGGCCCTCCATCTCTGTTATCTACGGCCTATTTGTCTTTTGATCCGTGCAAGCGGGGGACCTTGCCACGGGGAGAAGAGTGGCTACGAAATGCTCGCCAAGTGGCATTCAGCCATGTTTAGTCTCCCTTCTGGTTGTCTTTTTTTTTTTTTTTTTTTTT